GGGGCTACCCATGTTGGGTGTAGAGGTGGGGCTGGAACTCACAACCCCGAGATCAGGAGTCACACGCTCCACGGACTGAGGCAGCCAGACACCTGGTTAATGAATAAAGAACAATCTTATCAAAAGCTAACACTTACTTGGCACTTGCCAGGGCCCAGGCAATTCGCTCAGTGCTTACATGAAACAATTCATTTAATCCCCTCGACTGTCCCGTCAGGGGAGCTGTTATCATCACCCCTGTTTTACGTGTGGGGAAACTGAGGCTCAGAGAGGAGTACTTGCCCAAGGCCACACAGCTAGTAAGCGGCAGGGCCGGGATTCAGAGTCAGTCTCGGCCAACCCCGCAGGTGTTGGAGACTTGCGTTCAGACAGGGCGTGACCACGAGGGAGACACTATATGTACCCAGTGCCGGACTTCTAGAAATAGTGACCCTGGGGCAGGCATGGGTTCTGGTTAGACGTCGGGCATGGGCATTCTAGAACAAGGGCAGTGGTGAAGTGCATACGGACATTTGGAGGTTCACGTCTGGGAACCACAGGGAGGGTGCACGGCGTATGGAGAGGGGAATTGGGGGTTCAGAGGCAGGCTTGAGGAGGCAGCCTCAGACCCAGGGGCTCGGGCTAGGAGGAGGATTGGGGTGCGGGCCTTCAGGATTGGGGTGCGGGCTAACCAAGATCTTCCCCGGGTCACAGTGTTCTGAAATGAAGAGCACCGAGTTTAGCACCTGAAGATGAAAGGGAAAGGTGAGGGGAGCACCTGGGGTGGGGGGGAAGGGGTCTGAATTCTAGAAATTGGGTGGAAGTTGGGTTTGCGGGTCTGAGGACAGAGGGAAGTGGTCCAGGAAGTGGTTGTAAGAGGTGAATAGAGGTTCCCAGTAAGGGAGGAAGTGAGCCTCAGAAAACCCAGAAATGGCTTTAAGGGGGTCCTGAAAGTCCACATCCAAACCCCCAGAAGGGGGGTGGGGGTGGGGGGGATAGGATCCCAGAAGTGGGCCTCGGGCATCCCAGAAACACGTAACCGGAGTCTTGGAAGGAAACCAAGCGTGGCCCTCCTCACCCAGAAACGGGCGAGGTGCCTTTTCCAAGAGCGCAATCCGGAGAGGTAGATCTCCTGCAACACGGGGGCACCGAGCTCCACTTCGGCCCCGTCCGAGGTCAGCGAGGGTCGGAAGCCCACGGCCTGGTGCGCTTCAGCCATGTCACGCTAGAGCCCTGGGAGTTGGGACAGAGGGTCATTTTCCAGGCCCCCAGCCTCAGACCCAGGAATCCGGGCTCCCAACCCCCTCCTCCTGCAGACCCAGGAATATAGGCCGACGGCTCACCCTTCCTTAACCACCTGAGGGGTCTCGAAGGACTTTGTCAGAGACTCGGGTGTTGGGGGGATGTCAGTCGGGGGCCTCTGTGAACGCATAGAGAGGCAGGAGGGATAACTCGCGTGAATCCCTTTTGCGACTCTGCTGAGAAGGAAGTGCAAGGCCGTGCGCCCCTCCCCACGAAAGACTTTCAAGATTCGGGGTTGGGGGCGCAAAACCAGCCCAGGGTCGGGTTGCGGGGTCTGGAGAAAAACATTAGTCCGAGACCCATTGAAATGAACACCTGCCGGACGTTGGCACCGTCCGCCTCGTTTCCGCTTCCCATGCCAAGGCGGGGGAGGGGGGGATGGGACCGGTGGGGAGTGGCGGGGG